GAAGAGAAGAGAAGAGAAGAGAAGAGAAGAGAAGAGAAGAGAAGAGAGAGAGAGAGAGAGAAACAAAGAGAGAAAGAGAGAAGCAAAGAGAGAGAGAGAGAGAGAGAAACAGAGAGAGAGAGAGAAACAAAGAGAGAGAGAGAGAGAAACAAAGAAACTGAGAGAGAGGAACAGAGAGAGAGAGAGAATCAGAGAGAGAGAGGAGAGAGAGAGAGAGAGAGAGAGAAAGAGAAAGAGAAAGACAAAGAGAGAGAGAGAGACAGAGAGGGAGAGAGGGAGAGAGGGAGCAACATTAGAGAGGTAGAGTGAGCTCAGTGCCACTACCCTCAGGCCACTAGTGCCTTGCAGCTTGGGCGGTTTTGCTATGGCTATGATCTTTTCTGCCCCGAAACAAGAGCCTACAGTAGTTGGAGCTGCCCGAAGAAACATCAGTTGGAGCTGCTGGAAGTGCTGGCACTGTGAGCGCTGTGTCCATCGATCACTGGCCATATCGCCCAACCGCTCGCTGCGGGCATGGAGCTCGGATTGTGAGGTGATCCCGGCACTCGGAACCGCGTACGTACTCGCCGCCCGTACCGCGTCCTCGGAGGCGCCTCACAAAAGAAGGCACTCTCATGGACTGATGCCATGCTCAGTGCTGAAACCCTTGCCGTGCCATAGCAGCAGATCCTGGCATCCATTGGAGTCCTGCTAGGTCGGTCCCAGAGTCGGTCTCTGACTCGGTCCACAACCCGTTCTCTTCGCATGGCTTCTCCAATGCGTTCCCCCAGCCCACGCGACCCACGCAAACCTCGCACCGCGACACCCCGCTCACCGCGGACCTCGCACCGCCCACCGTCAGCTGTAGCCGAAGAGCACCGCCTTCCAGACCAGCGCGTTGGAGGCGAAGATGAAGGAATCGAAGCGATCAAGCAGGCCACCTGGGCACAATAAGCGTTGATGGACCAACTCACGAGAGAGAGAGAGAGAGAGAGCGAGAGAGAGGGAGAGAGAGAGAGAGAGAGAGAGAGAGAGAAACAAACAGGCACAACAGATAGACATAAACACATAGACAAACAGACCAGGACAGGACAGGACAGGACAGGACTGGTCCAGACAGACAGACAGACAGACAGACAGCCAGCCAGCCAGCCAGCCAGCCAGCCAGGCAGGCAGGCAGGCAGGCAGCCAGGCAGACAGCCAGGCAGGCAGACAGACAGCCAGCCAGCCAGCCAGGCAGGCAGGCAGCCAGGCAGACAGCCAGGCAGGCAGACAAACAGCCAGCCAACCAGCCAGGCAGGCAGGCAGCCAGGCAGACAGCCAGGCAGGCAGGCAGACAGACAGACAGAGACGGACAGACATAGAGAGACAGACACAAAGAGACAGACACGGAGAGACAGAGAGACGGAAAAAACAAAGAGAGAAACAGAGAAAGAAATAGAGATCTGTGAGCGAGAGAGATTCTTTAAAAACGAGCGGTGCCAGGAACCTTAATGCTATTACGATTTTTATGTCCAAGTTCACGATGCATGTCACTGGGGCAGGTCACTTTCACCGATTCAATGACATTCCTACTGGTGTGCGATTGCACGCTCGCACGCTCACGGTAGCCTCTCCTTTGATTGCTGGAAGCGATAGCATCAATCCAGTCCATCGCTCTCCCTCCCCATCTCTCCTGTATTTTGTGGACGGTGCAATGGTGAATCTTTAGACTTTAGTCCAATTCATGTTCGCTGGCGTCTTGCGTTGACAGAAACACCGACTAAACCAATTTCGACATCAAAGCGGTGAAACATGCAGCGAACCTGCCAATGCAGCTCAGAAACCATGGGAGGATAGAAGTCGCGAGTAGTCTTTGATTCCCAGGCGGCGTTTTACCACCGAGAAGTACAAATCCCCGATGCAACCTGCACAAAAACACTTACTCAATGTCTCACGAGAATATGCTGCCTAATCAATTTTGTAGATGCTGGGACTTGGTGGAAAACGAGCTGCAAAGATTGTAGGGGAACTTGAAATCATTTGGCGACCAAATTGCAACCAAACCTGGAAATGTCCCACTAACGAACTTACCCCAGACGAAGAAACATTGAAATCATGAAAATGTTGAAGGTTGAAAATTCCAGTGGGAGCTGCCAAAGGTGTAGGCCACGATGACATTCAAACTGGGCCACCGATGGACGACTGATGCATACAGTAAGGTGATTGCAGCACCACCCAAATAACCTTCCAGCTCATCAAATGCAACGAAACAAGCAACCCTCACTCCAGGTTTCAATAAACGTGACACGTGCCCCGGACAGCTTGCAAGTTCCACAACCCTCACAACCAATTTGCGAGGTCAAGAGAAACGCGCCCAAACACACCCACACCAGCATCCAGGCCTTCATATGTTTTCTTGGGCGAGATTGTTGGGCACGCATAGTGTCGCCCCATGCTGCGCCCAACCAGCATCTGCGCTGAGTCACCCACCGCCAATTGGATCACAAGGCATTCCTGGCGACCCCGTGGGGCACATGACAAATCAGGGGACAAGAGCATGTAAGTAAAGTTCAGTCGTTAGAATCGTCAGTATCACGATTCTGTCACCCTGGCTTGCAGTTGAATGGCCACCAAACACTTGTGCCCGACCACATCTTGGTACACTTGCAAGCCAGCCAACGATGGCAGGAACCATCCGAGGAACAGGACAGTCAAGAGAATGTATTCCTGACACTGACAAAATGTGTTTGCGCGTTTGAATAGCTCCAACCATGTCTCCAACCCACCGCATTGAGCAGCCATACACACAACAGGTTGCCAAACAATATTGTAACAACACTGCATTCGGCTTTTGTTTGGCACACGGAAGTTGGCTCGCCACCGTTTGCCCGCCTGTGTCCCAACTGCGTGACTGCAAGCTGCCCACCAAAATTCTAAACATCCTTCAATGTGATGGCCGCAGGCAACTTGATAGGTAGATCAGTTGTGCAAACAACAAGCAGCAGGAGGGAACGTAAATGAAAAGGTCACGTCGCTATATCAAATGTACCCTAAAAATTAACAACACGGCGTCCTCCAGCCAAAACAATGCAGAGCACTGCGTGGCAGAACGGTGGCGACCTCCACATTGGCACCAGCAAAGCCACAACGAGGACGACAATGACACCTGCGCGCGCTAGTTGGTGGTATCCAAAACCAAATGTAGAGAAAAAACGAGAAACCGTGTATGGTAGAATAATTACACCTACAAAAACAAGTGTATATATATGTATACATACTTCCACAAACAAAAAACAAAAACGGCCCCACCAAGAGGTCTTTTGTTTTCACGTTCACACATTCAGAGCTTGAAAACTGCAAACACACGAACACTTGGTGACAACTCCCACATTACTTTTTGCCGGCTGTTTGTTTCCGAATAAAAACAACATGAAGGTGCGTGTTTTTATGTGCGGCCTTGAAAGGTGGCCATATGAAACTGAAGTTACTGGAACTGAAAACTTGGAAGGTGGCCGGGGTCTGCTGCATGGTACTGGGGTGTTGCCCCTAAAAATGTTGGGTTTGCATACTCGTTTGCCCTCACCCAAATCCCGTTCAAACACCCGCACGATGCTGACAAACGTCACACCTCCACCTGGTATTGGCCGGCTGCTTGGGGACCAAAACTCACCAATTTGTTTTAATCGAAAAACCCATCAACAGAACACCACCACAACGCGCAACCAAACCCAAACCTGCAATCAAACCGCATTCAAGTGAAAACCAAAACCTGGCCAATCAAAATCATGGATTTAAAGAGGAGTTGGCTTGCCTTCAAAAGCACCACAACGGATTTCCTCAAAACATTATTACTGAGTTTTGTCACGCAAGTCCGTTATCTATCCGCACTTCGCCTGCGCGTTTCTGCAGTTCCACCACGTCCCACTTGTTGCGTTTTTGCTCCCCATCATGCATCCGGTGCGGCGGCTGCGTGCTCAGCAGGCTGGAGGAGAAAAAATACCGAGCACTATGCTTGTGACGGTCGGCTGTGCATTTGAAATAACCAAGGTGACGATCAATGAACCCAGCCACACATGTACACTAAAAGTTCGCCATGACTGAGCCACATGCATGCCATGGCCACGCAATGCACTGAACATGTTCGGCCTCCATATGCCCCAATAACAATGATTCCAATCACCCACGTGCCTTTGCTGGGGCCCTTGCGCCTTGGTCAGCATGCCCTGGCACAAAGAAGGCCCATGCTGTATCTTGTACCACGTTTCGCCAAGCATGGTGTGGGTGGACCCTGCGTGAACTTGAACATTGCCGTTTTTATGGGCGAACAAATTTTGTTGAGCAAGGACCGTCACCCCACATCCGCCGTGAAATTCACTTGACCATCCTTGGGGTGCGCTTTTGTATCTGCAAATGCCCCGCTGGGTCAAGTCAAGCCTCCGAAAATAAAGAACTAGGCTTCCCAATTTGTCAGGCACAACCCTGACATGATGCCACCCATGGCATGACATGATTTCACCCGGCATGGCATGATGTCATCCTTGGCACCCTTGGCATGGCATGATGTTTCCCATGGCAAGACATGATGTCATCCTTGGCATGACACAATGTCATCCACGAAACCTTACAGTGCATACCACAAGCAAAACAAAACATCAATTTGTCAGGCACAATCATGACAAGAAACTGCATGAATGATGTCTTCCCTGGCATGGCGTGAATGATGTCTTCCCTAGCTGGTTGGGCTTTGTTGTTTCAATTTGGTGCGGGCGTTGGTCCTGGAACTGGGGTTGCCCCATTGCCCCGCTTGATTCTATAAAGCCTAGGTTTGGTTAGGTTTGTTGGAGCAGGGAGCGCAAATTGAACTCACATGTTTGTTACCTTGTTTGTGGGCCCAGAAGGCTCAAAGAATTTATGGAGGCTGAACTATGCAGAGTGGTTTCCTAATTGGATTGTGGAATGAGATGTGGATATTTGTGGTTGGCTGGGGTTGCAACATGCCGCCTTGAGTTTATACATGTTAGGCCGGCTTCGGTCTGCGTATGAGACGGCTAGGTTTCAACCAGGACGTTTGCTGTTTGGATGATTCAATGACAAAGGTGTGAAACAGCTCGACATAATGACCTCATTATTATTGCACTCGGTTTTTAACTAAGTGCCCCTTCCCTTGATGTTGGAAAGTTCTGCCTTGTCCAGACCTTTCTTGTTATACATCAAATAATAACGGGTGCAACACCAGTTTAAACACCCTAAAACCCCTTTTTTCCGCAGCGAAAGTTCGCGGCTCAAACTTTGGACAGTTTTTATACTGGCCCGTCGCCAGATGTGCATTGAAGGGGGAACCGCACTGCAGCAACCGACACGGGCGAAAGTCCAAGCCACGGGGCGCCGTCAGGGCACGAGGCGGGAGACCGCTGGTGCTGGGCGTTTGCCAAAGGATGTCGCTGAGGAGCGGAGGGCCCCCCTGTATTCATCCAGTACACGCCACCACCCAAACCGATATGCACGCCCTGTATAAAGGTGAACGTTTTTCTGTTGAAGTTCACCCAGTCACTGAGATACAGACACTTTATACTATATTGCGGGGGCCTCCATGTATTCGCTTCAAAAAAACCTTCATTGATTTTGGTACCTGGCGAAACGGTACTACAATAGATCAAACACCTGCAGTCAGGAATGCCAGCCAAACAAGGAATATACGCAAAATGTTCCAAGACTCATCGGTCACAACCCCATCTCAGAGACCAAAACCCGACAATAAGATATAAACCACACGGGGGTGTTTGCGAAGGATTTTTCCTGAAAAAGTTTCCAGCAACATCAAAACCTTAACTGGTCAGTTTTTAGTGGCTCAATGTAGTATACCCTTGAGACAGGCAGGGAAACACGAAAGCTAGAGAAGCACCACGAACATATGAGAAATGTAAAGAGTGCGGTGTGTGAAACACATGACCTCTGTCAGAGAACAGGGGTTGCTACAACCCGTGGCGTCGTGGTTTCTCAACACTGGTGCTAAACTGTGCCGCGCAACAGCGGTCGTATGTCACGCGTGACCTGGAACATGAAGGAAGGTTGCTAAGCATGTGGTCTGGCGAAGTTTGTCAACACGGCTTTGCGCAGCGGCTGTGTTGCGCCAACGTTCGCTGGTGGCGACGAATATGGTGTGTCAACGCTGGCTTGCGTAAGGCTGCCGCGTGGTGAGGTTTTTGCCTAACGGCCGTGTTGCGAGAACGTTTGTAGGAAACAATATGGTGCGTGGAGGTTGGCTTGCATCAAAAAATGAGGTGTAAACGCTTGCATGCATGCACAGCGGCAAAGCTGTGTCCTGGTTACTGCCAGTGGGTGGACATCAGGCTATGGTAGATGGGTGATGATAGCGGTGCCAGCAAGGGAGGGGGGTCAGTAGAATTGATATATCAATATTTTGTCCCGAGCAGCAACCCTCACCTCAACCTTGTGTCTGCCATGCGGCAACCTGCGATGAATTTTCCTCGGCCCAACAAAGTTGCACTGAAGATCAGGCGCTGTAGCGCGATATGTGCGTGGACGGGACCAACGGAAAGGTTCCCCAAAGTGTATGCAAATAGTCAATCCAATGCATTTGCGTTAACGAGTCATGAGTCACTGTCCGTATCTGGGGTGTCAAAATCGAAGGCTGCGTGCTGGTGCTTTTGGTTTGCTAATGTTTGCTATGCAGGGTGCGTTTCAGGCTCGTTTCGTTTCATGCCGCCGCATTTGTCACAGTGGTGTTTCTGTGTACTTCACCCTAGAACAAATGAGCTACAATTTTCATTTAGGTTTCACTAGAGCCGTCCACGGCGTGCCCTATTTGCTTGTCAGTCTATAATCAATGTTTGCTTGTGAGCAAGGTAGCGCCCCACATAAACGAAATACGTTTGCTTAATGATGCTAGAAAAGTCTGACCGAGATAGTGTGTGTATGTGTGTGACCTCCTACTACAGTAGTCCCAATCAGATACTGTTACATGTCTTTCTACTTAACTATATAGTCATATATAGTCTAAACAAGCTAGGGCCCCACATACTACATCCTGTGTATGAGTTGAGTTCCAAATAAATACCGCCGCATAAATAACCGCTGCACACCTGCTCTTGTTGCGCGCACCAGACACACGCAAACAAACACTGCGGTAGAAAGAAAAGTTGTACCTCACAGGCCCGTTGGCCCGTTGCCCGTCGGGGGCCCGTTGGGGGCCCGCTGGGAACCCCGTCAGGATCGTTGGGCCGGTTGGGGCTCGTTGGGCCCGTTGGGCCCGTCAAGTGTTTGGCCCCAATGGAGACACCCCCCCTTTGCTTTGCAATGCAAACTCAAGCTCGCATTTCAGTACGCCGGCCACCTGATTCGATAGAGGAAGCTTCCCTAAAATGCAACCTGCCTTGCAAACCATGCCTTGCAAGAGTGACCCGTAGAACTTAACGAATCAGGCCCCGCCAAACGAACCCATAATTTTGAGA